ATTTGTGGAGCATCGTAATTACAAAATCGTGTACAGGCGGTATGCGTCACTCTTTTTCCTGGTCGGAGTTGATAATGAAGAAGTAAGTTAAATATTTTGTTTTCCTGCAATTTCTTGTTTATTGTATATTAAAAGTTCAGTGCTGTAATTTTCCTCTTTTTTTGATATCATGTACTGTCTAGTTTGCTGTAAGTTCGTGCTTTCTCTCTCTCTAGAAGGAGATTTCACTTATGCTTCATTCCTGAGAATCAACTTTGCTAATGCTGGAGGCATTCTTATTTTCCTCCTTAACCATATAATCATGAGCTGGAGTCTGCTTTGTTCCTTGAACAAATATAGTCAGAGTATCTTAAATGCTAGAGAAAAAGAGGAAAAAAGAAGTATTTTAATGTTGTTTTGAAAGTGCATTTCATGCCTTTTTTACTTGGTTGCTCTCTGTCAGTTCTAGATAACCTCAGGGGTTGAGGAACACATTGCAGTATATAAATATCAAACTCCAGAACACTGTCTATTCATAAACTGCAGCACAAATTTTCTCAAACAACCGAGGTTCNATTTTCCTTTTCGACATTTCTTTCAGTCTTAATGAATATCATTTTTCTAATTTAGTGCGAGCTGGATATAATGTTTCATCTTGAAAAAGCACACTTCATGCTGGAGGAGATGGTAATGAATGGGTGTGTTGTTGAGACAAGCAAGGCAAACATTCTGGCTCCAATTCAGCTAATGGAAAAGGCATCATAAGTAATATACTCTGATGTATGGAATTCCTAATAAACCGATTTGCTTGTGTAGTGTTTATGTTTTGGATTTGTGCTGGTAAAACCATCCTTAGTTTTGTTGTGGCAAATGCTAAAATTATGAGAGGGTACAGTTCTTTGATTGTTTAGTCATCCCTTGGTGCTACTTCTTGCTTGATTGGCCTTTTTAAGTGTTTATAATGCAAGTTATACCTAATTTTAAGGGAACTCGAAAAGAAATTTAAAGAATATGATATGGCTGGTAGTTTTTCTCCACCCCTCCATCTTAGCTAAGGCATAGAAAAGACAGGAACAAGTACTAGCAGAAATTTTCTTATTCTTGGAAAAGAAACAGTATCATTCTGATAGCTAGGAGTTTTAGCTAAAGCCAAACTCAATGATAACACTAACACCTATAGGAAGGATACTTGATAAGGTACCTCTAGGAAGTTTAACATTAATGCAGTTTGTGTTACCATAACATATGCTACTCCTTCCGAACCTTGAGGCAATTAGTCATTTGATATGTACAAATAGTAGAAATCATTATAAATACACATTGCTTCAAGTTCAAGCAGGATGCATCAATCATATGGCAGCTGCTCTTCCATCTTTTCTCGGGTCACTCAGAGCGGTAAGTGTCCCATGCAAAACTCCATTTTCTTATCCTTAACGAATAATTAGTTGGCAGATGGCTCCTCCTGCTCTTGCTTCAAGTTGATGATCCCTCTCTTGTAAGTACTGCTTGTTCTCCTACTGGGCTGCTTCCACATATCATTTGCTCTCCCTTTGATTTCTTAGAGATAATTCTGTTCTCTACTTTTTTTCCTCAGATACTTTTTCAACTATTGGAATATATCCAATATTACTCATCTATCTATTATAGGAAATCAATTGTTTGGGACTGAGGCATAGCAGTAGTAGTTGTATCTATTAAAGGGGGAAAAAGCACACTACTAGTAAAGTTCAGTCCAAAAGCAATAAAAGCAATTTTATTTATTTATTTATTAGGGAAACATCAAAGTAGTTACAAGATACTGCAACCAGGCTATGAAGATAGTTCCCCAGCTATTGGTACATAGCATTTTATTTTAACCCCACCATTTGGGATTTTATTCATACAACAAAAAATATTACGCCAAAGCCACATGAATAGCCACAAGAGAGGCTCTAAGATGAAGAGTTGTTGAGAACTCATGCCACCCGGATTAAGTCAGCATTGAGCTTTCATGCTTAATAGCTAGGGGTGTCAATGGATATTTAAAAACCGACTAAACCGACCGAATTGTACCGTACCAAATCGATTTTTAAGTTTCTTTGAATAAAACCGTAAGTTTTTATATAAATCTATAACTGTACCGATAATTAGGGTAGGTTTTTTATTTTATAAAAATAAACCGAAAAAATACCGAACTGTATCGAATAAATTTACATGTGAAAAATATATTTATATATTAAGTTTAAAAATAATAAAACATTAAATTTTCCTTGGATCTTGGAATTATGAAAATAATTACAAACCAACAAGTAATAAACGCAAAATCATAATTCTCAAACCTATTATGCTACTCTCATTGAAACTAAATTATTTTCAGCATATTCACTATTAAGACACAAGGCATTGTAGCGATTATGAGTAGCAAACTACAATGTATTGATTATGTTTCCTTTCGTATAATTTAAATTTATCTTTTTGAATATTTAATCTTCTATAGACTTTATTCTTGAGTTCCAGTCCAGTTTGGTTAATATCTTTCCACTCGTGTGATTAATATTTTCTTTATATTAATTTGTTTAGTCTCTTTTACGATGTTGTAGAGTAGTTGATGGATATATACTCTAGACATCTTTCATATTTTCTTGATTCATCATCCTTTAAAATGTAAAAATGTCTAGAGAGTTTTGATAAGTCTTATAAAAGTATGTATGTTATTGCATTCTACTTCTATTAGTGACTTTTACATGACATTTAAAAAAGAAATACCGAAAATTAACCGAACCGTACCGATACCGAAGAGAAACCGATATAATTGAGACGGTTTCGAAAAGTCTAATTTTGATTATACATAATAAAATAATCGAAAATTGGTATGGTACAAAATTTACAAAAATAACTGGCCGAACCGAACCATTGACACCCCTATTAATAGCTAGTCCATTTGGTAGCTACTCCATTTCCACCCTTCAGGCAATGTGAAACTTTCATTTGGTTTAATTATCAATCCCTAATAAAGGTTTCAATGGCTAGTTATTAGGATGAGAACAATTAATTGGTTTAGTTTATTACTTCCTTTGAAGATGTTATAAAGCACAACCAACTATTAGGAAGAGCTACAACAACAACAAGCTCAGTATAATTTTACAAGTGGGGTCTGAGAAGAATAGTATGTACGCAAACCTTACCCCTACCTTCAAGAAGATTAAAGGAAACACCAATTCTAAAACCGAACCAAAAATACAAAGATACAAAAGCGATTAGGAATAGCTACTATAATCCGAAAAAAATGTCAAATATATTGTAAACTAGAGAGTCAATGATCGTGCTGAGCACGAGCCCAACATCAGTAGAAATTCATGTTACATAGTTTGTAGATCTATTCAAAGCTGACACAGGGTGGATAATCTGTCATATTTGACATAGATCTTTAAGATGAGTACCACAAAAGGCAACTCTAGTCTCTATGAAATTGAACATAGACAGAGAGAGATACATATCACGCCTCTTCTTTTAATTACGAAATAACGTTATATCGTTAGAAAAGTTGATGAGCCTTTAGATAATTCACATTCCATTATGAATATTGGCATCAGTTCGCATAAAGAAATTAAAAGTTTTACACCTATAAATTGTCGCTTAACACTAAAAACAGATACCATAGGGCATCTAGCTAGTTTTACATACATATATACGGCTTCGTGCTATTTGAAGTTACTTCCCAACTTTGATACAGCCAAACAGAACACTTTCAATGAACACTGCCGTCAAGAGAGTTCTAACCTCAACAGTAGTGTCTAGTACAAATAAATGATTAATAAAGAAATATAACATTATATGGATAGTACTATATATAATTATATACTGTAGTCGAGGAGCAGTAATACACGTCTCGGTCAGAAGAATCAGTGAAATGAATAGCCCGTTTAGAAATCACCTTATTTTAAGAACTATTTTTTTTTTCAAAAGTACCTTTTTCAAAAGTGTTTTTCAAAAAAGTATTTTTGGAGGGAAGCTATTTTTTTCTGCTTCTCCAAAACTGTTTCTGCTTCTCCTCAAAAATATTTTTTTTCTTTTAAAAGCTTGGCCAAACACCTTAATTTTAGAAAAAAAATACTTTTGAAAAAAAAAAATACTTTTGCTTCAAAAGAAGCTTGGCCAAACGGGCTAGAAGTTACCTCTGACTCCTATATCAACTTTTGCTAGATGACAACCATTTAATATATCTACTGAAATGACATCGCTGTTTGCTTGGGCTTGTTCGTATGAATTTGAGACTAACAATCATTAACAGTCGATAGGTAATGATTAGCTTGACCATCAAATTACATACTGCGGCATAATTTCTAGAAAGGCATTCCTAGAGAACCAGAGAGATCCCAAGTCCACACTGTCTTAGTTCTTTGGTTGACACTATTTTCAACTAGACATAAGGACAAAAGTGGATATATAACTGTCTAGCCAACCAAATCTGTGGTAGTTCCACTTGCTAAGGCACGAGCAGAAACAAAATTTTAGGTTATTATAAGGTGGCTAAAGATCTCTTACAAGTTCTTCATGTCCGAATTCTCATGTCTCTGAAAAAAATAATTTACTTAATGCCAGTCTTATCATTCCTGAGAGCATATCTGTAGAAAAACATGTTAGATTGCATTTTATGAAAAAATAACCGGGGCGTTTACTCCTGTATTGGCGATCACTACTAGAAATCAGAGAAAAACTGACCAAGCCATACCGATCAATGTTGGTCGGTCAACAAAAGCGACCAAAAATCGTCCAACACAGACGAAAACTACAAAAAATATATTTTAATTTTTTTTTTAAATTACATACCAACCAAAGTTGGTCGGTATTTTGGTCAAAAATTTGACCGAAGTGGTCAGACTTGCTTAGTCAAAGTAGTTTTTTGATTACCGACTAACTTTGGTCGGTAATGTGGACCCACTTTTTAAAATTTTAATAATTATATTATTATTTAAAATATTTTATAAAATTTATAGAATTTATATTTAAGTTTACCGACCAAAGTTGGTCGGTTATTAGGTCAAACATGGTCAAACATCTGAATCACTTTAATATTTACTATCTAAATAATATAAATGTAATCCGTTAAAACTTTATTTTGTAATACAAATAATGAATACACTAACATATACTATAACATGCTATATATAGTTAAAGTAGTACAACGAAGTGTGTGTGTGTGTGTGTATATATAGGTATAGCCACATATATATAAGAACACAAAGTGCTAGGGCCACAGGGTCGGGTTCTTTTGGGGATAGACTTGTGAAGAAGCAATAATCTAATTAGTATATATAATTGATCATCATCAAATATATCTATTTGTAAATTGATTCATCGACTTATAACTTACTTAGATGCATCGATGAATATTAAAAATAAAACGTTTCGACCTATATCGATGAATATTAAAAATAAAACGTCTCGACCTATATCAATTAATCTATGTCATGCATTATTAGTGATGAATGAATGAAATATAGAAAAATTAATACTAAACATCTTTGACATGTATATATATATGGATCACAAATTAAAGAAACCAAAGAAGTTATTAGCATTAAGTAAACGAGTTAATAGGTCAAACATGGTAAAAACATATTTAAAATAGAATAATATCGGTTTATCAATTGATAAATTTTTCGTATGTAGTAATGTATGTCAGGGGCGAAGCCAGCCCTTCAGATACAGGTTCGGCTGAACCCAGTAACTTTTGTCCAAACCCTGTATTTATCTTTAAAAAATTATTAAATTATTTATAAATTATTGATTTAGAACCCACTAACTCAAAAGAATTAGAATACTGAACTCATAAGCTTCAAATCCTGGCTCCGCCTCTGATGTATGTGATTGATCATCAATTACAATATAGTGTGTGTGTGAGAAATTACTCATATACATAATTATAATTTAG